AGCTGGAAAATCGATAAACCGATTAGAAGAGGCACACTTCTAATGTTATAAGCAAATGACACAGTTCGTCATGTTTAAGCCTAACAATAAAGTACTACTCTGAAATGGTAAGTCAAGTTAACCATGATATGAAAACGTTGAACCAGATCTTCTCAAATTAAAAAAAAAAACATAATTCTGTTCTACCAAAAAAATTATTTATGTGAACAAATGAAGTAAATCATAATATAATTGTTTTCCAAAAAAGTGTTTAATGAGTTTATTTCTGTAAAAAGAACATGAAAACACCATATATCATAAGGTAGTTAATTGAAAATGGCCAGGTTAAACAACTTCACATACTATAATTTATCCGTACATCACCAGTTTTCAGTAAAATTAAATGTATCATACGATACAAGGGATATAAAACTTTATAGTTAACTTAAGCTGGTAGATTTAATAATATTGTTACTTCTTTGGTAAATTAACACAATGTAATTTACATTGTGATTTAATTTTAAAGTTTTAAACAACTGTGTTAAATATACACAACTGTGTCCGTTTAAGTTTAATGCGAGTGTTATGATTTAGATACATTATATAGCGCTTGTGTCATATTTAGTTATTTTTAGAAACGAAAGTTTATCGCAGGTTTGCTTACGTAACTGTTTACGAATCATACCTTGTTAGTTCAATTGTTGTATTGTTGCGTCATGTTACTAGAACCTTCTGAGTTCTTCTCGTTGTTTTAATTGGGTATTATTGCATCATAATATCTAGTAGTGTGCGTGTGGAAAGTTCTAGACTTCTGTCGGGGTATAAATACGCGTCGAAAATGTAGTTCGAAAGATAGATCTAGTCTGCGTGATTGCGAGTTTAGCTATAAAGAGTGTACAGTGGCGATTTCTAAAGTGAATTTATCACAGACTGTATTGTAATAACAGTTTGTTTGTTTGAAGTTAAGCACAAAGCTACAAAATGGGTTATCTGTGCTCTGCCCACCACGGGTATCGAAACCCGGTTTCTAGCGTTGTAAGTCCGCAGACATACCGCTGTGCCACTGGGGGACTGTAATAACAGAGCAGGAAGAATAATTCGTCTTGTCAAATTGTATTCTAAAGTAACTGAATCAGTCTGTGTGGAATTTGACGAAAATGAGACAATTAGCTAAAACTATGCGTACAACTGTGATAACCAAACTGCCTTAAAATTACATCTGCAGTGTCTTAAAGGTTACAAAGTCAGCAATCGGATTCTACAATCCAAGATGTAAATTTTATAACAACTCTCTCATATATTATAAAACCTATAGTAGTACATCCAAATGTGTTGTTGTAACTTTACATGAAAAAAATTAGCAGCACATCCAAATATATTGTTGTAACTTCACATAAAAAAACTATAGCAGTACATTCAAATGTTGTGTTGTAACTTTACATGAAAAACTATAGTAGTACACCCAAATGTGTTGTTGTAACTTTATATGAAAAAATTTAGCAGCACATCCAAATATATTGTTGTAGCTTCACATGAAAAAACTATAGCAGTACATTCAAATGTTGTGTTGTAACTTTACATGAAAAACTATAGTAGTACATCCAAATGAGTTGTTGTAACTTTACATGAAAAACTATAGTAGCACATCCAAATATACTGTTGTAACTTTACATGAAAATTTTGGCAACACATCGAGAAGTAGTGTTGTAATTTTACATGAAAAACTGTAGCAGCACATCGAAATAATTTGTGGTAACTTTACACGAAAACTATAGCAGCACATCCAAATATATTGTTGTAACTTTACATGAAAAACTATAGTAGTACATCCAAATATATTGTTGTAACTTTACATTAAAACTATAATAGTACGTCCAAATATATTGTTGTAACTTTTCATGAAAAACTATAGTAGTACATCCAAATATATTGTTGTAACTTTACATTAAAACTATAGTAGTACATCCAAATATATTGCTGTAACTTTACATGAAAAACTATAGCAGCACATTGAAATGCGTTGTTGTAACTTTACATGAAAAACTATAGCAGCACATCGAAATGTGTTGTGGTAACTTTACATGAAAAACTGTAGCAGCACATCGAAATGTGTTATGGTAACTTTACACGAAAACTATAGTAGCACATTCAACTATATTGTTGTAACTTTACATGAAAACTATAATAGCACATCCAAATGTTGTGTGGTAGTTTTACATGAAAAACTATAGTAGCACACAGAAATATGTTTTTGTAACTTTTACACGTTTACGTATTACAAATGAGCGGCGACTATATCATACAACTAATTTTGTGTAACTTAATACTCTTTATCGCTATGTAAGTCCACTAAGTAAGTAATTTCTGTCTGTTCGCATGGCAGCGAATATAAACTAACACACTCTGACAGTATTGGATACTGCACAGCTTCAGAGGGTTGTAAGACTTACCCACACACGAGCATACACCCTGTAAAGTTGGCTTTCTCATCGAATTAATGAGTACTGCCAAAGAACTATATTTACAGAGGCTGTACGAACGATGTGATTGACAGTACTGACTACTAAAAGTTTTTCAGTCAGTAATTGGAAGTTGAGTATCCCACTAACAACAGAAGCGTGCTCAGACAGAAGAAGAGTAAAATCACTAAAGCAAAGAAACAGCGGACAACCTCTTTCACAAAGGAAATAAGTAAACAAAAATGAATTGGTTCAGTACTAAGTAAATTGAGCTTTTTATGTAAGAACAAAAGCTAGTTTGTCTGCTTAGCATTGATATTCATAGAAATATAGAACGTATATTTACATCAATCCACAAATTTCAAAACAAAAGACGCGCGTTCTGTTTGTTTTGTTGTTGTTTGTTTTGTTTTTTCTCCTTTAATCACAAAAAAAATAAAGTCTAATATTAGACTTGTAAATAAATTGAACGTATTGCAAGCACGTAACTATTTGTAAATTATTATATTTTTTTTTACACACAAATAAACATCAGCTGCGTTCACTGTAAAAGATCTCACGTTTCCTAAAGTTCTTCAAAATGTATTTGTTATCGTTATCGGCAGTGGGCATGAAAAAAAAAAAAAGGTCACCTGAAAAGCAATTTTAAATGTAGTGCGAGAAAGAATGAAAGCTTAGGGTGGATGTTTGTTATGAATACATTTCAGTAACAATCCTCGCTCCTTTTTGTTGATATTTTTTCTTCTTTTAGCTATTCATCTAGGAGCAGGCTGTTATTTTCAGGGTTTCTTTCATGTTCAGTAACTGAGTTACATCTATTTCTGGGATGATTACTGTTCACTACATGGATTTTGTTTGATTTGCAGAAGCGCGTGAATGTTTGTGAAAGTGTCCTGAACTGAAAGATATAAAGGGATAAATATGATAGAAGTTTCATGTAATACTTGTGTAAAATTATTCAAGCTGAAAAATAAGTGTGTGTGTATGATACTCGTAAGATATTTAATGAAAAAATACAGTAAAAGACAATTTTATTTTTCAACCCCGATTTCTTACCCTTTCCTTTTGTGAATTTCACTATAATCCATAATCTTGGTTATACAAGTTTTCCTGTAAACCTGTGAAATTTACCTTTAAAATTGTGTTTACCTTCCGACTGTGAAATTCCTCTGTAAACCTATGTCTACCTTCCGACTATAAACCTTCATTGTAAACCTGTGTCTACCTTCCGACTGTAAACCTTCATTGTAAACCTGTGTCTACCTTCCGACTGTAAACCTTCATTGTAAACCTGTGTCTACCTTCCGACTGTGAAGTTCCCTGTAAATCTGCGTTTACTTTCAGACATTGAAGTTTTTCTGTAAACTTGAGTCTATCTTCCGACTGTGGAACTTTACTGTAAACCTCTGTCTACTTTTCGACTGTGTAGTAGTTTCACTGTACACCTGTGTCTACCTTCTGACTGTGTAGTTTCACTGTAAATATGTGTGTACCTTCTGAATGTGTAGTTTCACCGTAAACCTGTGTCTACCCTCAGACAGTGAAGTTTTAATGTAAACCTGTCTACTTTCCGATAGTGAAGTTTCTCTGTAAATCTGTGTCTAGTTTTCCTTTATTAAGTCTCACAAGAAGCCTTTGTCTACCTCTGGTTTGTCCAAGTTTCACTGTTATTTTTGTCCATTTTCAACTTAAATGTTGACAAGGTTATAGGGCATATTATAATTCTGTCACATTGAAAAAGCCCAAGAACTTGTTTCATGTTAACATTACTATTGTATTTACCAGATCTATTCTGACTTACAATTCCAATATATACATGGCTAAAGAATTCTAGTGTTGCTTCACACGTTTAACATGCCATGTAAACCCATTATTAAAAAATTAACGAAACCTTGCCTACCGGTGCTAGTATAGCCAATAGAAAGCTAATGATGTATGTCCCGATAGTTACTGGTACCGGTTTCTAGTAATCATAAGTCTACCGGAAGTTCGTAAAGTCGGATTATAATCCCAAGGTTATCCCCTGTATGTAGTTTTCACTGTAAAGTATTAGAAGAGTGATGAAGTAGGAAAACTATCGTTACCGATATCTGAAAAACATATATATATAAAGTAGCTTCCTGACAACAACCAGTACCTACTAGAAAGTAATAAAATATTTCCTGGTAGTTAGTGGGTCCTACTAAAAAGTAATAAAATATTTCCTGGCAGTTAGTGGGTCCTACTAAAAAGTAATAAAATATTTCCTGGCAGTTAGTGGGTCCTACTAGAAAAGTAATAAAATATTTCCTGGCAGTTAGTGGGTCCTACTAAAAAGTAATAAAATATTTCCTGGCAGTTAGTGGGTCCTACTAAAAAGTAATAAAATATTTCTTGGCAGTGAGTGGTTCCTACTAAAAAGTATTATTATATTTCTTGGCAATCCTATTAAAAATTAAAATGTCCTTGATACTGAACGATACCTACTAAACATAAAGTATTAAGATACCTCTGCACTGGCCAATACCCATTAAAAATTTAATAACTCATTAAAACCAACGTTTCATATTTAGAAACTTTATTGAAGCCGGCTTCCACTTTCAAATACATTCTACATGTACAACGTCCTCTACGTCTTCTTCGGGATTTATCTGCAAGACATACCAATTTATACATTTTTTTTCCTGCCACGTGATATTAGATTGTTTTTCTATTTACATAAGTCCTAAGTCAACTTTCATATTCCATAACACCAAATATCAATGCTTTGACTTGATGACCCTTCATCTCTGTTTAATATTAATTTTTCCATTTTAAATGTTGTTATTTCTAGTGATTCTTTGACATTTAAAGCTGTATTGAAACGTTGGTTTTAATTACTTATTAAATTTTAAACAATACACAAGTACCGACCTACTAAAAGGTTTTAAAAGAGACTTTGACAATGAGCGGTATCCATTTTAATGTATTATTATAACATTCATGCTTACCCAGACTGTGAATTTGAGGAATCATGGCTCGCGACCCGTTGCCGCAAAAACGCGCTACATACTTTACAACCGTCAAATTCCATTATTCGATTAGGTAAGAGTAGTCCAAGAGTTGGCGGCGGGTGCTGCTGAACATCTCCCTTCCATCTAGTCTATTAGTTCAAAATTAAGTATTGCTAAGCGCAGGTAGCTCTTGTGTAGCTTTGCGTGAAAATTCTGAAACCAACAAACAATCTAGAGTGCTTTTTTCTTTCTTTCTAATTCTTTGTAGCCGTTCCTTTATGCCTATAGCACACGAAGTTAAGTAAATAAAGAACATCTAAAGTACTTGTTATTCATTAGATATCTAAGAAATGAACCCCAAGATTCATGTCGATACCTAGACAAAACACCCTTTCGGCTGAACCATACATCGTTTACAGTTTTAACACGCGACAGTGAAATCAATTATTTATTCGATATTTTCAACCTAACGTGACAAATCTAAATAATACTGAAAGTTCAGACACCAACACACCATATTTCAGGTTTAAAAGCGTCGAGACGAGAGCGCTAAACCAATGAAATTTTAACGAGACAATTGTTACAAAACGAAGGAAAACGTTACAATATTTAACCTTACAGTAATTAAATACTATCTTTTACAGGCTAAGTTACAAACTCGTAAATCAAATGGTGTGTTTATTGGGTTTTTTTTTAAATCAATAACACAAGAAAAGGCTATAAAACTATTAATTCGTTTATATATATATATTCATCAAAGTAACAAATACCGCG